ATTAAATAATGGATGGGCTTTGCTTAGGACTACCTAATATGTAAGGCTTTTCACACAATTGTTCAGTGATTTTTACTATTGTTATTATGAATATCTATTTATCTGTTTCATAGATAAAATTATTATAAATACCAAATTACTGTTACTCTTGTAACTAAGTTTCAGTCAAAAAGAAACAACAAAATAGAAGTATATTCACGACGGCAGTGGTTCTCAACCTTCCTAATGCCACACCCTTTAACAGTTCCTCATGTTGTAGTGACCCCCAAACATAAAATTATTTTCGTTGCTACTTCATAACTAATTTTGATACTGTTACGAATTGTAATGTAAATATCTGATATGCAGGATGTATTTTCACTGTTACAAAGGGGTCGAAACCCACAGGTTGAGAACTGCTGCACTAGGGAAACTAGCAAACTTTCACTAATGTGGTGCTTGAGATTCACTCCTGAGAAGAAATTATTGCTGTTATCATTTTCTGAAATTGATTTATTTTATTTCTAGAATATGAAGTACCATAATTACATTACTTAAACATCAGTATATGTTGTATAGGCTCAGCGCCTGTAGCTCAAGAGGCTAGGGCGCCAGCCACATACACTAGAGCGGGCAGGTTTGAATCCAGCCTCGGTCTGCCAAACAACAATGAAAACTATAACGAAAAATAGCTGGGCATTGTGGCGGGTGCCTGTAGTGCCAGCTACTTGGAAGGCTGAGGCAAGAGGATCTCTTGAGCCCAAGAGTTTGAGGTTGCTGCAAGCTGTGACATCACGGCACTCTACCCAGGGTGACAGCTTGAGACTCTGTCTCAATAAATAAATAAATAAAAATATATGTTGTATAACAAAAGTACTATTTGCTTTATAACATATTGATACAACTTTAAATCCATGGGTGGTTGTATGTTAAATATACAGAAATGAAGTCTTTGTTCATAATGATTTGATTGCTATAAAAATGCATTCATGGCTTGGCGCCTATAGCTCAGTGGCTAGGGTGCCAGCCACATACACCAGAGCTGGCAGGTTTGAACCTGGCCAAACAGCAATGACAACTACAGCCAAAAAATAGCTGGGCATTGTGGCAGGCACTTATAGTCCCAGGTACTTGGGAGGCTGAGACAAGAGAATCACTTAAGCCCAAGAGTTTGAGGTTACTGTGAGCTATTATGCCACAGCACTATACCCAGGGCGACATAGTGAGACTCTGTCTCAAAAAAAAAAATGAAGCATTAAGGAAATTCTGGCTTTACACTTCAATGAAGCTATAACCTCTAACTTTCAGAAATCTTCATTATCCTTGAGAAGCATATAGAGTTGAATTTGAAGATTCAGTTTACAGATAAAACTTTCTGAATATGCTGAACTTACTCCCCACAACTGCCACCACCTTCACAAACAGATCTGTTTGAATTATCAAATTGTGATTGACATTAAGAAATGTGTGTGGGTGTGTGCGTAAATGCTTGAATTGCTAAGTCTATGAATTAACTTTATTAACATGGCAATTAAGTGTCATGTCTGTTGGTTTAATTAAGAAGATATTTGGAAAAACGAAGATAGTTGGGAATGATTAGCCTACTTTATATAAAACCTAGTAGAAGTAAGAAAAAGTAACTTCTAATTCTGATGCTGACATTCAGTTTATTTATTTAGCATTTGTAAACTATTGACTTTAGACATTTTGCTAGCAATGACACTAGCTATAATGTTGAACAAGTCACAGACTGTTATTCCTCATCTGCAAAACAATTATTAAAAATATCTTTACTTACTTCATGTGATTATTCCACAAATAAATTGTGAAATAAATGAAAATTCTTTGAGAGTAGATGTGCTGGCCAGGGCATTATTAGTGGAGGTTTTAAAAATAGATCCAGTTTCTTCTTATTGCTGTTTTACTCAAGAACTTACTAAGAATATTTTACTAATTATAAATAAAAATGTCAACCATTTATTAGAAGAAAATTCTTAATATGTTGAGCACTGTCAAATTTGGAGTCAGTTATGAAGTAACAGAAAGATACGGAGTGAGAAAACCTAAATGCAAGGTTCAGCTCTGTCTTGTATTAGCTTACCAAGTCCACTCAAATCATTTAACCTCCTGAGATTTATTTCATCATATGTAACTGAAATATATTTATTTTAAAGGAAATAGTTTAAGAGGAATAAATGGGATAATATATAATCACTTTTAAGTCTATGAATCACTATAAAAACCTAAGATAATAATACCAGTAACCTTAAAATAAAAATTTTAAGTGACCAAGCGATTTCTTAATAATATTTAACATTTAAATTGTAACAAGCTGTAATTTTTCAAGCCTGAACATATTATGTTTATTTTATTTTAAAATTATAAATTCTCAGTAGATATACTACACAAAAGATGGAGCATAGTGTCCTCACCAGAAAGGGAGATCACGTTGGTGAACCTGAAAAAAGATGCAAAGTATGGCCTAGGTAAGTCACTTTGATATTCTTGAAGGTCTGTGAGGGTTCATAGAGAAGTCTAGCTTAAACTTGGCATTGAGACACCAGCCACATCTGATCAAAATACGGGCTGCCCACCCATAACCCCAACACCCTAGATGTATCTCACATGTGTTATCTGTTAATCATATTTGATATCAACAATCTCCACTTTTCTGTGTTCCAAGTGAATTAATCATTAGTCTTTGAAAGCATCAGTATCACGAAGATCTTTTTCAAATGTGGTATTTTACAGGATTTCAAATTATTGGTGGGGAGAAGATGGGAAGACTGGACCTAGGGGTATTTATCAGTTCTATTACCCCTGGAGGACCAGCTGACTTGGATGGAAGCTTAAAGCCAGGTACTTTACATTTTGGCAATTTTCCAAACACTTACTGACCAGCATAAATTTGCAAAGATGGCAAAAGTGGATCTTAAGCCAAACAAAAATACTCGGAAAGGGATGACATTGCTAAGATTTAGAATGAATTTCTCTTTGTTGTTGAAAATCCTGAATTGTCTATTTATAGGAGACCGTTTAATATCTGTGAATAGTGTGAGTCTGGAGGGAGTAGGCCACCATGCTGCAAGTGAAATATTGCAAAATGCACCTGAAGATGTGACACTTGTTATCTCTCAGCCAAAAGAAAAGATATCCAAAGGTAATGTTGCAAATGTCTCTTAGTTGTGTTTTCTGTTTCACCTTCCACAAGCACTTCAGTACATTGGACCAATAAATTAGCTTTAAGGTTCTTATTTCTTTTCTGTTAATTTGATATGTGTAGTTCTAATTGTTTTGATTTTATGCACCAGTGTAACCTCTTCATCACGCCTAAGATTTTGTCTCATTCCTCTTTAGTACCATATGCACAAAAAAAGGATTCATTGTGCAAAATTAATGTCACTTAAGTAAATACTGATTATTTGGTGTGTTCCATCTCTTCTTAAGTCAAATCAGAAATAGAATTCTTTATCATCATATAGTTAATTTATAATAGTTATCTATGAAGTTAGTTAATCATTGTGTAGTTAATATTATATAATAACTATCTATGACATCCTTTTCTGCAGCAAATTACAAAAAGGAAAGAACAACAACAAACCAGAAATTTAAAAACAAAACTGTATCATTTTGTTTCATAATCCCTGTCAGCCTATTATAGGAGAAAAAGCCCACTTGATGAGGATCAGATGACCTGAGTTGCTAAGAGTCAGATGACCTGAGTTTGAGCCTTTACTGTGCCACTTATTATTATAGCTAGATGACTTAAGTCCTTCTGAGCCACAGTTTTGGTTTTTTATTTAAAGAAGAGACAGTGATCCCCGAATGTAGGACACAACTACAATTCTGATTTTTACCTGTCATGTGTAAAGTATATAACCTATGGTTTGTACCCTTATATTACTCTGAAATAAAGGATGAAAAACTATATGCATTTTTTTTAAAAAGAGAGAGTCAGTAATCTCTGCCTTCTGTTATCTACCTTACACAAAGTTATTAGGAAGATCAAGTGGTAGACAGTGTTTATACAGAAGTATATATATCCCCTGTGCAGCAGAACAGTGCAGAGGGCAACATAGAAGGCTCCAGAATTAGTGGTCCCATTCTATCTCCACCACTTAAAACTGTGTACCTGGAGCAAATCACTTGCATTTTCTAAGCTTATTGTTTTTACTTTATCTTACAGATTATAAAAATTAAATGAAATAATGCATAAGAATTAGCACATTGCCTGGTATTAAGCAGTTAAATGAGAGTGCTGTCATTATTAATAGTACTTTTCAAAAACATTGAAATGTTAGATACATGTACGTTACTTTCATCCCAAAGATACTGAGGAATACCTAAAAGAATTAGAAAAAATTAGCTAGGAAGAAAGTTTAGGTAGTAAATTTTAAGTATAATTTTAGATACGTATCATAAAATAGAAGATAAAAACAAACTATTCATATAATATGTTGTGACATAAAAATTTACTATATTTTATATAGGTGAGTCATTTTGACTGTCATTTCTTCTTTTCACTAAATACATATGTTGTATATATACTGTGTGCATACATAAATATACATTAAGCATTTGTTATTGTGAACAAACACAACAGAAGGGAAATGTAAGACACCTCCACTACCCACAAGAACCTTATAATCTAGTCCCCTTAGGAAAAGGAAGACAATTGCAGTTGGAATGTAGTGTACCTCTGAGTCTGAAGCAGCCAAGACCAAAATTATTTTTAAAGCAGAACTTTGGGCCAGTTGCGGTGCCTCACGCCTATAATCCTACTGCTCTGGGAGGCCGAGGCAGTTTGATTGCCTGAGCTCACAAGTTTAAGACCAACCTGACCCTGTCTCTAAGAAAAAATAGCCAGGTGTTGTGGCCAGTGCCTATAGTCCCACCTACTTGGTAGGCTGAGGCAAGAGAATGGCTTGAGTCCAAGAGTTTGAGGTTGCTGTGAGCTATGATGCCACAGAACTCTACCAAGGTTAACAAAGTAATACTGACTCAAAAAAAAGAAAAAAAAGCAAAGAAAATGATAAAAGTAGAATGTTGAGTTTCATTATTCACCATTATTTTAGAAAAGAAGCATGTGGACTCAATAAATTTATTTCCCCCTGAATAAAGCTCTAAGGGATTTGCATGTTAATTGTGTTTTCAGATGTATTATAGAAAATTCAGTCATTTGTTCATTGAGTATCTGTGAGGTACAAGACACAGACATCCGCCCTCATGGAATTTACTTGTCCCCATTTATTAAGGGGACAAGTATTGAACAACTAACAAGACAGATATTTAAT